AATTTTATTAGAAATATGAATACAGTATAATAGATCGTTCAAAAAATGAAAAAATTTTTCATATGATGTGTTTATATATAAAGTGGATATATAATAGTGCGACTAAATAAAGAATTCTACAAGAAAGTAGTCTTGTGAACCTTACAAGTATATCTTTATGTGAATGTATAAAAAAACTTTTTACAAGTATATATAAATCCAAACATAACAACAGCTTTATCAATAACACTTTAAAAATAATGAAAATTTTTAATACATACACGAAAGCCTATGAATTCACTGAAAATTTGCTAAAGTTTACTATATATCTAGTTATTATTCAAGCTAGCAGGTTTTCTAATTCTTAATTATATAGAATGAACATGCAATGTTAAAAGCAATGAATTATAAAATTTCTACATTAAAAAGTGCTAAAAAAAAAAAAACAAAAAAAATCTTCATAGCCAATACGTTGTATTACGATTAAAATCTTTTGAGGTTTTAGGTGTTGTACGCCTATTTTCAAGTTTCTCGATATCAGTAACCATTTTTCAAGTGGATTAAAATTTGAGCAAATGTTTAGTAACCATAAATGGCCTTTAGGTATTTCGCATGACTGATCAATCGAGTTTTTGACTTTTTAAAGATAAATTATTTGTAAATTGTATAATTGTATATTGTTACATATACAGTAATACTAATTTACCTTAATTAAAATCCCATTTAAATAGTTTATATTTTGTTCATATGATCCATACTTGTTATCGTCACCTTCTACAATATATTCATCTTCATTTTCAATTATTGATTCTTTAATCGGTAAAACATTTGGAACCTTATAGGTTTCTGAATTATAAAAATGAAACACATTTATGAATTCACCCTTATATGTAGAAATTAGTAGATAATTTCCATTTCGCTGGATCTAAAAATAAACAAACAAATAAATAAAATTATAATTATCATTATAAATAGCAATAATAAAATAAAATAAAATAAAATATTACTCTTTTGAAAAAGTTTAAATCAACTTTATTAATCGAATTAACCAAGTGTTTGCACAAAAAAAATTAACTTTTTATATATGCCATGCATGTGCAAGTCCATTGATTTGGATTTGTAAAATACAATTTGTCAGATTTTGGTTCTTTTTTTCGAGTTTTCTCCATTCTTTTCTCCAAGGTACTGAATATCAGCCTTGCTGTAATAAATAGATTTGATATAATTGCTGATTAATAACTCTTATGATTAAGATATAGCAAAGATGGTCGATTTTTGGTTTGTAGAATTTGTAAAGATAGTCACGCTTTATATATCGCCAATGCGACTCTACAATTATCATTGTCTTAATATAACAAATTTCACTGTCTACAGCTCGTGCCTACAAAATCCATCTTTTTGGACAATACTATTGATTCCAGAAATATATCCAAAGATTAATTAAATTATTTTCTTTGCAAAAAGATAACATTTTTTTATACATTCATTCCATATAGCTTGTTGACTTGTGTAAAATTCACCATTAGATTTTGGCAATAAGATATGCTAACTAAAGTGTATCTCAACTAGATCAATAACTTGTTTGCAAAGCTCTAATGAACAATACATAGTATTATCGTTGTTAAGCTTTTTTCAATAAGGATCAATAGTTGCGTATTCCTGGTACGCAATAATTAGATTATATTTATCTAAAATTGGTTTGTATGATGCAATTCTTTGTTTTATTGCATGTACAACATGCCAAAAGCACAGTTGTAATTGTGTATCTGGCTATACTTTTTGAGCTGCACTTATTTCACAAAAATCCTTATCCATTAAAATATAAGGAAAATTTGCCAATTGTTTACTTTTAAGTGTACACATCCACTGAGATAGAATAGCAGTTATATTTCAATTTTTTCCTGCACTATTAAAAGATAACTTAATAGAAATCCAGTTTCATCGATTACACCCATAAGTGCATATAACTCCTATCCCATATTGTTAGTTTTGAAAGTTGCATCAACTAATATAGCACTAAAATTATTGTATGGAAGTTTATAAAAAAGAGTCATAAGAAATCCAAGTGCAGGTGTCAGTATAGATAAGTTAATGATAATCTCTTGATTAAATTTAGCTAACAATAATTTTGCTGAAATTAAAGGATATGAACTACGTTGATACATTCTTTGAGATTCTTTTGACCACCAAAAGTAAATTTGGTGAATAGTAAAATTTTCATGTCTGTTAAGTTGTTTTTCTTTAATTTGATGATATAATTCTGGATCCAAGTAATTGATATTATTTTTAATAAACTCATGAATCTCTGAAGATGTTTTTATATAAATTGGACATAGATGAAACATTAAATATGAATATTTAATTTTAATTAAGTTTAAAGAAGCAAAAACTTTGATTTTTATAGTCCCTTCACAATTATATCATTTAATCTGTGTTGATGTATCTCTTTGAGATCCTGGATCCAGATGCTTTACTTGGCGTTTTGCTCAATCGATACGGCAATTATAGTGATAGATTACTAATAATGATTTTTTTTTTGATTTTTATCCTTATATATCTACCTGTATCCATCTCCTTCCTCGATAAATTTTATTATATGTTGGACAACTTCCAGATAAAGTTTTTCATCTTCAATAAAATTTTCATTATCCTCATTTAATATATTGTTAATTATGGAAGACAACTCTATATCAAAATCGATAGCTAACTCCACATCATCATTTTCATAGAATTTGTTAATATTTTCAAGAGAAGTCAAAGATTTGTATATGAATTTATTTATATTTGAATAGTCAATTATTGCTTCATCTTCTGCTTTTTTTGTAAGTTAGTCTGTTGTTCGTTTATCTCTACATAACTGGCACCAAGTCAAAAGTTTGCCATTTTTACAAAACTCCTTGAGATCCTTATTTTTGTCACAATTATTGCACTTTTTAGTTGACATGATTGTTATTTGATATCAATTGGTTAAAGTTATTAACGTAATGTGAGTAACAGACCTCTTAAAATTAATACTAGTTGTTTCATATTTATATTATATTTTCAAAGTCTGACATTTTTTCAATATTAAAATCTACAAAATACACATCTAAAATATAATTAAGAAAACCACTTAATTAAAATTGATTCTAACAATTTTACTTATTATTGCCAGTTATCAACATATGAATCTTATGGCATCTTCAAATTGTACCACAAAGAGCATTAAGAAATTATACCATTATGAATCTAATTCACTAAATACCGAGGGGCTGAGAGAACTCTAAAACATAATCAAGGTGTTTTTGAATATATGGCAAGAAAAAAGCCCGAATTATACAAGCAAGTTAAAAAAAATTGAAGACTCGGGCAAAAATTCAAATAAAGTCACATCAATACGATTTACTAGACACACAAACAAGCAATTTAGACAAGCCACTTTTGAATTATCAACTCTCCCCAACCAATAAATGCTAATTTGATACATGCAGATAAGAATGTTCCCCAATCACGATATTGGTTTTAAAGTATTATTTGTTCAAACTTATTAAATAAGCATGACTAAATAAATTTTGACTAATATTTGTTAAATTTAATATACCACTCTGAGGACGAATGAAAAAATTGATCAATAA